TGATTCACTGCCTTTCTTCATAATTCCTGAAGAATATATTTTCACAAAACCTTCAAAATGGTAATCTGGATTTGTTAAAAGGAAGAGAATTTAGAAAAATGCTACTTTCCAAGGAGGTCACTATAAATGGATTCTTTATTTGGTTTCATAATTAGTTTCAACTTTACACATGGGTGACACAAAAAAGATAAAGAAAATCATAAGAGCACAATTAAAAATGTGGGAGCTGTGACATGTATCAAAATCGTTATCTCTAAAATTATAATTTTAAACAGGTCACAAAGAAACAGATTCAAATGGCATATTTTTAACTTGATAACATCAATGTTAACATAAACCTTATTAAGTATATTCCATAGTACTATGTTTTACCTTTTAGACATTTAAAGTAAAGTTTCTTCCCGATACTTAAAAATTTTTTTTCATAGAAAATAAAATTAAAATATACATTTAAATTTTTTTTTATTTCTTCTGTAAGTTTATAGCATTTAGGACTACCAGAATTTCCCTAAATCTCAGTCTCTCAACAGAATTTTTTGAACACAGTGAATATGTGTTACATTTAGTTTAAAGAAGTCCTAAAAAATAATTATTATTGAATAGATCAACCTGATTTACAATTAGCAGCATGAATTTGTATTCTGTTCACTTAGTTCTGGAAAGAATCTGTTTTCTCAGATTATCCATGACAGAAGTATGTCAATTGTAGTGTTAATTATCAAACACCCTTTCTAACAGCAAGTGCTAATATAAACTCTATTCACCTAATAGAGTATACTCAAATGGAAAACTGGGCATATGCAATTGATGGTATAAATAAACATAAATGAAATTAATGTCAGTAAAACAAATTTACAACGAGCTCTGTTGACATACCACTAAAAACACAATGGTATTTGCTACTCCATTTAAAGATCCAAATGTGACAGAGTCCTTGGTGATATACCAAATTCCTGTTTCATTTTTAAGTAGTTGTACCAGTTTTCTCAAGTAGAAACACTGATTGATGGCTTTGATCTTCATTTATTTAATGACAATTTACTTAACTAGCTGCACCTTCTTGCTTGCATGATCTCAAGACATCCTTCCAGACTCTCCCTACCTATTTGTTTACACAAAGAGTACAAAGGTGACAAAAAGTGGGAAAATAACTATTTCCCCAAAACCAAAGCAAACCTCTGCAAAAGACAACAGAGCACCACCTAGAGTTGTTGACAGAGTCCCCAGAACTCTTCCCAGGAATTTACCCCTTGATACCCTGCCAGCTTGTCTGCAATTTCTATTACAATCGTGTGAGATAAGGTCAAAGGCCCATTACAAAATACTTGAAGATGAGAAAAAAACCTGTCCAGAGCGGACACCACCGGCTACTCGGCATCACACAGTCTAATTTGTTCCAATGTCACAGAAAAAAACTCTGTGGCCAAAAGGGACTATTACTGGCAAACAAATCACTCCAAATAGGAACACCTAGAGAGAAATGAAGGAAAAACCAGGTTTGCAGTAGGCCTTTAAGTACACTGCAAGGAAAACCAGGCGGGGGGCACATGACACACACAAGAGCTCCTTACTCTATTAACCTCCGTCTTTTGCCGTTTATAGCATGCTTGGTGTTTCTTTGGAAACATCATGAGGAAGCCTGGGATGGCGGCACACTCCCAAAATCCCAGTACTCTGAAGACTGAGGCAGGAGAACAACCAGTTTGGAACCAGCCTAGCTATCGTACAGTCAGACTGTCTCAAAATAAACAAATATAAGGTAAAACAGTAATTTGTGTGCTCATTTAAAGAAACAATAAACGGGTTGAATTACACTGGTTTCCAACAAGAAGCATGCCAAAATGTTGGCTCTGAATTCTTTCAATTTTAAATTTATTTTAAAATAAGAACAGTTAGAGGAGCCAACAGCAACCTTACTAGCTCCACGAACTTTTTTTGGAAGTAATCTAAGTGCAGACTGTTCATCTCTGCCATTATTCCCCTTTCATTCTTAGTGTAAAAGAATGGGTTCAGGTCTCTGCACACTGTGGCAGTCTACAAGCCTTGGAAATGCCATAGTTGAAACTAAAACTCAACCTACCTTTCTAAACTTACATTCTGGAAGTACCAATCAAGCGAGCTGTCATCATATTACTACAAACAAAACCACAAGCACAGTTTCATTTGTAAATAGCAATTTGTCATACAGCAAAAGCCATATCACAGCAATAAAGATAACTGTAACTAACATCATGGCATGCCAAACTACTGCTCCGAATATTTCTTATTTCTCTATGTATGCACAGTAAATACCCTTATATATGCTTTTCATACACAGAAAAAAGGCTTGAGGAGTACAAATATTTCCTCAAGGATAAACCATTTCCTGTGCTGA